CACGAAAAAAAACCCCTTAAAAAAATCTATGATATCATAACGATATCATGACAATACCCGAAGCGACGAAGGTTTGAAATGACGGCACTGTCAGGTGGAGTTTTTGGAAAGTGCATCAGCTAATGCTTTTCTTTTTTCTGATCCAAGATTATTACGTCCAAGATTTAACCGGAATGACAGACCTATAGCGCAGAATCTTCACAAACTACAGAACCGAATGACGAATCACCAAAAACTACAACACTGAATGATAAAAGCCAGAATCTCCATACTCCATAAATGACGGCACCAAAACGATGAAAGCCCCAAAACTACAGCACCGAATGATAAAAGCCCAGAATCTCTATACTTCTTAAATAATAGTACCGAATGATGAAAGCCCAGAACTATCCTGATTCTTATCTCTACAAAAAAAAAAAGTATTAGTTCAAAGAAAGAAAAGCAAAAAAAAAAAGCGAACAAAAAAAAAAAAAACATATTCTAATTTCCACCGTCTGGCCTTCCAGGGGACAAACCTACAGAAAGTTAGTATTAGTTCAAAGAAAGAAAAAAAAAAAAAAAAAGAGAAGAAATCACATATCTTACAATATCTTAGTTTTAATCGCCAAATCTCTACAACCCAAACATCCAACAATGGCTCTAGTAACAATTCTAACAACAAAACTATACCTTAAAAAAAAAGGAAATGAAGGAAAAAAGAAGGAAAAAAGACAAAAAAAATAAAACAAAAAAAGAAAAAAAATGGAAAAAGAAGGAATAAAAAAAAAAGAAACGAATAGAAAAAGAAATATAAAGAAAAAAAAATAGAAAGAAATGAAAATGAACAAGAAACCAAAAAAAAAAATTTGAAAAGGAAAACAAAATGAAATAAAATAAAAAAGAAATAAAAAGAAAAAAAAGACGAAGGGAAAAAGAAGAAAAAAAGATGAAGGGAAAAAGAAGGAAAAAAGACGAAGGGAAAAAGAAGAAAAAAAAATGAAGGAAAAAAGAAGGAAAAAGACAGGAATAAAAAGCAAAAAGAAAAGAAATGGGAAGAAGGAACCACCGAATAGAAAAAGAAATAAAAAGAAAAAAAATAAAAAGAAATGAAAACAAACAAGAAATGAAAAAGAAAAAAAAACGAAAAGGAAAAAAAATGAAATAAAGAAAAAAAATTGTTAGTTTCAAAATAAAAAAAAAGAAACTAAAAAAAAAAAAAATACAAACCTGTTCAAAGCGAAGCAAAAGTAAAACAAAAAGCAAAGAGAAAGCGAAGCAAAAAGTGAAACAAAAAGCAAAGCAAAGGCAAGCAAAAAGCAAAGCGAAAAGCAAAACAAAAAGCAAGACAAAGAGCAAGCAAAAAGCAAGCAAAAAGCAAGATAAGCGAAAAGCGAAAAGCAAAGCAAAAAGCAAAGCAAAAACAAAGCAAAAAGCAAAAAGCAAAAAGGCAAAGGCAAAAAAATGTGATCTATGATCTACTTATATGATCACTAATCTAAAAAATAATTGGCCGATCATATAGAGTCACCAAGTTAATTTTGCCAAAAGAATAAATAATAAAATTAAAAACCGATAAGAAAAGATCTGCAAAGATCATTACTTTTAAAAATTTGTGCAAATCGGCTTTTTAAAAACTGCAAAGATTTTTAAAAATTTTTAAAAGTTAGAACTTTGCAGTTTTTTTATTAGAGTTCTGCGATGATTTGATAATTTTAATAATCTTCACAGATTATTATTAGTTTTACTTTCCCGATGATATTCTGATACTATTTTATTAAGATATAAACTAAACAAAAATTACAAGAATTTTTAACTAAAGCTATTATCTTTCTAATCTCAACAAATGATTTATTTGACTTTAATAGCCTAAATACAACATCATTTAATAACTAATTTGTTTTCTTTTAAACCCTTAACTTCTTAAAAGTATAAATTTTTTAATCATTAGCTAGTACTATACACTGTATTAGTATTATTTTTTTTTATAATAATAAAATATATATACAAATTTAAAGAACAAAAAAAAAAGAAAAAAATATCTTAATATTCAAATTTGATTTACTTAAACAAATAAACTAAAAAAAATCAAAACAAAACAAAAACAAAATAAAAAAAAGAAAATAAAAATAGCACTATTGAACCTATATTGAATTGTAAAAATTATATAATATTACTAAATAATTTAGTCAAGCTCTATCTATACTAGTTATTTATATCTATATCTAAAATATTAAAAAAAACTATCTGTTCTTGAATAAAAAACCAAGTTCAAAATTTTTATTTTATTTTATTTTGTTTTATCAAAACTTTTATAATACTACTTGATTATAGTTCTTTTTATTCAAAGCTCCATATGCTCAACTAAGTCAAAATTTCTGTTATAACTCCTAGAAAGCAAAAATCAAATATACTATTTAGCCCAAAATAAATATATATACTTGTATATGTATTTTTTTTTAGTATCAATTATTGATATTAATTCTTTGATAGAGATATGCTAAATTTTTTACTTTTTAAATTTTTAAAAAATATAGCAAGTGAGTAGTAAAGAGAGATGTGGTTTGTAGATAGCTTTAAACTTTAGTAGGAAGTATATTAAAAACTCTCTTATTGTTCTTCTTTTAGACTGACTATTTTCATTTTATTAGCAAAAACTATACTTCTATTAAAATTTTCTGTACAAAAGTATTATCTTTTTGCTAATTATCTTGTATAAAAATATTTTTAATTTGCTTGTTAAATATATAGAAAAGTCTGAAAAATAAGAAGAAAGAGTCTAACTTTTATAAAAACTGTTACTTATAGTTGTCTCTTTTACTTTTTCTAACAAGTTTTTGTTTTTGTTAATTATAAGTTTGGTTTAAGTAATCATTAGAAAAGTTATTTATTTGAATTTAATAATATTTAGATTAGAAAAGTTTGGATTAAAGAGAGTTAACTATATTCTTTATATATATATATATATATATATATATTTTTTTAGCAATCCTTTCTTTATTATTTAAATCAGCCATAGCCATATCCTGTAGAGGCTAATCTACCTAGTATACTATATAATGTCTGTACTAATAAAGAATCACTTAATCTATTAACAAGAACCTAAAATATATTCTACAAGGAAGACCCAGATGCGACCTGCCTAAGTGGTACTTCTTTACCTTGTCTGAATTTCCCAACTTGCTAAGAATTTATACCCCAAGAGTCTATAGTAGGTGCCCACTGACCTTGTCAAGATCACTGCCTATATAATATATCACCAATCTGAAAAAAAATTCCCTAAAAAAAAATCAAAAATCAAATAGGATAAGGGAATTATGAGAAGGGTGATAGTTTAAAAGAAAACAAATAAAAAAGTGACTAAACTAATAAAAGAAATCTAAAGTACTAATTATAAACTAAAGAACCTATCTAGCAAATTGGTACCTGCTAACCAGGATACTTATCTACTTGATCATAGTAATTACATAGAACTCAGCTGATATATAAAAAAAACCTAAACTAAATGCATTTTAATTTGTACTAAAGACTAAAAATTATATGCATATGACTTTATCATTGGACTGCATATCTCAAATTCTCTTTATCGCCCTAACTTTAAATCTATATTCTATTTCAAAGTATAACAAAAGTATTGACTCCACGTGCTCTCCCAGTCTCATCTCGTCTAATTGGTGTGCAAGTCCTTAAAAACCTTCTGAGTCCTTAATGTACCAGAACCACGTTCCCAAATAAAGAATAAATTACTTCCTATGTAGCCACGTGTTTGTTGTGTTCATATCACAAAGTCACCAAATATAGAAGTAGTAAACAATGCTGATCTTTTGATGGGTAGCCAAATCTCTCACTTTTTGTCGAAATTTTGGTTTGGAAGCGTCAAAGTGGCAGAAAGGAAAAAACGTAATTGTTGCAAGATTTTTAACCATAGTAAGTGCTTTGCAGGCTGCTTCTCTTGTTCTTTTTTTTACTACTATCTAAGTTCCCTTTGATAAATTGCTATCAGAATAACCCTTTTGGCTTGGATGTCGAACGTAAGAGGATCTACCAGAAGAAAAGCTTGACCCAGGCTACAAACTGCTTCTCTAATGCTCGCTTCTTGATATATTACGTTAGAGGCTCATCAACAGTAATGAAAGGAAAAACTTAAGTAGTTTTAGATATTAGATTTTGAGTTTTTCAACTTGAGTTGGGTAGAAACAGTTGGTTCAAGTGATTGTTAGGGAGAGTTGATATTTTGTATAGTTTTTTTTTCTTAAAACTATAAAATCAATTTTTTAATAACCTTAATATATTTTTGTTAATTTTTTGTTTTGGCAAATTTGTATATAGAAGATTAGTGAAAAAAGTTTGTTTTATTAGTTTGTATATTATCTTATTAAATTGTTGTAGTTTGATATTTTGTAGTTATTTTTGTAAAGAAATTTATTATTAAAGTTGTTGAATTTACTTAATATTATTAAAATATAATTAAAAATTTTGTTTGTTTAGAGACGTGACAAAAATCAGATGATTTTTTAGAGAGGAGGGGTAAAAAATTTAAAATTATATATAAAGACCTGATTAAAATATATAGTAAGAGAGGGTGAGGGGGATAAGCTTCTGATAAAAAAAAATAGATGATAAATGACACTGCTCTTAGTAGATTTGTTTATATTTTATAAAAACAAAAATATATACAAGTCCTATTGGATATTAAATATACTACTATATATAGATTAAATTAGAGGTTTATATAAGTTTAAAATTTTGCATTTTTAAAATATTTTACTAACTAATCAAATTTCAAGATCAGGTATGATACAAAAAAAATACAAAAAATCAAACAAACTAAAAAATTACTTATAACTCAATATTTTATAGTACTTGACAAAAGTTTTCCTGTACTCATAGATCTTTTAAAATTATGAATAGTATTCCTAAACTTTCTGTAAACAAAGAAGATATTAATTGTAGATCCTTACATATTCTACAGGTTGATAAATTTTTTTAATAAATATCTACTATATAAATATTATATAATCTTAAATATATTATTACTGAATAAATTCTTTTAAAAACATAAATAGATATAACTTGACAATGATATAATCAATATTAATGATTAAGATCTTATTTGAATTTTGCAGTTTTGTAGAATTTAAAAAAAATTTTAAACATCGAAATTAATTATTTTATTGTTGAGATATTATTATTAAAAGTTTGTTAAAAATTAATTAAAATTTAAGCTTTAACAAATTTCTAATAATAATATCATAGCAATGAAATAATCAATTTCAACATTTAAAAATTTTTTTGAATTCTACAAAACTGTAGAATTCAAATAAAATTTTAATCATCAATATTGATTATATCATTGTCGAGTTATATGTGTTTATGTTTTTAAAAGAAATTTTAACTAGTACTATCCAAAATTTGACAATCATCAGTACTTTGAATAAGAATATCTCAACAATAAAATGGTTAATTTTGATATTTAAGGATTTTTTTGAATTCTATAGACATATAAAATTAAAAAAATCCTCAAATATTGAACTTGATCATTTCATTATTGAGATATACCTATTCAAAATATTTGTAAAATTTTTGTATTTTGTAAGTATGTGAAAATTTATAATTACACAATATGTAATATAGAAGGCCTATCATTCTGTAAAATATATACATCGGACCTTCCTAAATGCAACTTCCATAAATGCAATACCTCTCAAATACACGTTTTTGTCTTGGCTGTATGAAATTGTTAATGCTAAATATACGTTCTATATTCTGCAAATGCACGTTTACTTAAAAGATTTTTTATATTATACTAACCTCTCTAAATGCACGTAACCAATCAGAAGTTAGTATTTAAGTTTGTTACACAAGTCTACAGATCAAATATTAAAAGCTGCAATTTGATTAGCTTCTTCTAAATGCAAACCTCCCTAAATACACATTTTAGGCTAATCTGTATATGTTGCATTTATGGAAGTTTGACTATAGATGATCATATTCATAATATTCTTTGTATACAAAAAACTTTAAGGTGCTATGTATGATTTTAAGAACTTTTTATAGGATGCAAGAAAACTTTTGT